GGAAGATAAGATTTGAGTAAATAATTGACAACATGTCATTTATTTATTTTTGCACGTACGTCGCAAGCATTGCCACAGAGAGGCGCGATCGTGCATCTCGAGCAAACATATTGCTCATTTTCTTCAATCGGTGGCAAGATGCTCAAACATGCGAAGCATAACGGATTTCTGTTGGAACTTATTGGCCCAACAACAATCGGCTCTTCTCGAAATACCACTTCACCTTGCTTTAAATCCGTGGTTGCCTGTAAATATCTAAAAGAAGGCGACGAAAGTTCAAAAATAACAGTGTGTGAAAATCTTTGAAATCCAAAGTAGATTTCAATATCCGTCGATACAGATTTAATTTAGAGAGTCACAATGCCCAGGTCAAATAACGTTTTCACAGTTACGTTACGTTTATGTTTATACCTGCCCAATTTCTCTGAATAAGCAACTTTATATTTCAACGTGGGAGCTGCAGTGCTTTCTAATGTTCCTTCCATCGTGATATATTAGGCGAGCTATTTCCGTCAATTACACGAATGAGATGCGTGTGTAGCGCGAAATTAACGAATGTCCGACGATATTATGCATTTCCTACAATTCGCAACTGAACATCGAAGTACACCGAAAACTTGTATACCGGAAGCCGTCTGTCCTTTAATACTCTCGATATTATTAGAAGTTGTAGTGTCCGCGCGTGCTTAAGTAGTCAAGTATTCACAACAAAACAATGCGCAGACATCGAATTACAAACAGCAACGTCCTATACGCATTTTAAATAGATCGTTTTCTCGAAACGTTAATTAGAAAGAGATGAGAAATTTCAATCTCGATAAATTCAAATGGAACATTAAAAAAAAGAAAAAAAAGAAAAGATTATAAGGAAGGATTTTTATTGGGAAAATTAGAGATATCTTCTATTTCGGGTTCCTCTATGTTACGTTAAATGCTGATCATGTCATTCATATTTTCAAATGTTGTAACGATAACAAGTTCTTAGCAAGGCATGTTTAATTATTTCCTTGTACGTTTATTGTACGTATCCATTAGGTACAGTATTGCATAACTTTATTAACAAGAAATACAAAGTTTTATATATATATATATATTTATAAATCTATATCTAAATATTTATAAATTGTTTATCGATTCTTCGAGTTGAGCCAGAGATTCTTTAGCGACGATGCCTATTTGACCCTCCGGTGTATCCGGTGGTTCTAAGCACAAAATTGCCGCAGCTTCCTTCAAGATAGTAGATGCATCTATCATTTTCGATTTTAGGGCGGCTTCGTCGATCATCCCGATGTTCCACAGTGTTTTAGCAGCGAAAAGCAATGGTGCATGGAGTTCGTACAAGGTCATTCCTTTATTGATAAAGATCGAATGTTAATAAATCGTTTAGTATTATAAATAACTGAGGGAGCAAGGTACAAGCTATTAAACGACGAGTGATAGATAATTATAAATCATTACCTCTTATACGAGAATAGCCAGGTTCTATGACGTCCAACACTTGAAGTAACAACTTACACATATCGATTTTGTGTTCTAACACCACGTCCGGCAAATCGTCTAAGAGATATTCGTCCATACGGCCGTACATTTGTGTCAACGAATGTCTGCAAAGTCAAATTATTCATATTTTCCTACTAGACTTATTAATACTGATAAGATAAATTTGCAACTAACAAATAATTTGGACTCAGTCCCTGTGATCTTCTATTTCAGTGTGGATCGTGAAGCATTGAGATGATCATTAACTGATCGCTCGATCTCGTATTTTAATTTTATCTTTGCTTATTCCTGTATTACTATAGTTTCACCTTTCTATGCGTATTTTAATTAAATAACTCTATTCTTCCCGTAGAATAAATAAGTAAATAAGTAAATAAGTAAATAAGTAAATAAGTAAATAAGTAAATAAGTAAAGAAGTAACTAAGTAAATAAGTAAAGAAGTAAAGAAGTAAATAAGTAAAGAAGTAAAGAAGTAAATAAGTAAATAAGTAAATAAGTAAATAAGTGAATAAGTGAATAAGTGAATAAGT